GTTTTTAACACGGTCCACTCATCATTACCGAACGCCATAGAACGTACGTTTGGTGTATGGAAAGCGCAATGGGATTTTCTACATAACATGCCTCGGTATGATTTTGGGAAAGTGCAAGTGCCATTGGTGGGGCTTCAATGGCACTAGATAATTTTATACGACGCAATTCAAACGATGATGAAGCGTTCAATAAGGTGGCCAACGCAGAAAATTTTATTTTCAACGACATGCCCAATGCAGCGGGTGTGGGTGACGACGATGAAGGTGACCCGGAGGGTGATGATGACATAGAAATGAACAAATTTAGAAAATCCATTAGGAATGTGTTGGTGCGTAATCGACATGAGCTCGGGTTGTAATCGCACTTGTAGAATGCAATGAAGGGAAATGATATTATTATTGTGTAGCAATGGTGTAGTACAATAACATTATGTACTGGTGAATACAAATGACGTCCCATGCATGAAACAAAAAATATGGAAACAAAAAAAGATTACATTTTAAAAAAAAAAATTATAACAATAAAAAAGTATAGTTTAAACAAAAAATTTTGTTACAGTAGTGTAGTAAAATTTTGTTTACCGTTATATTTTTTATTGAGAACATTGAAATGCCAAATTAAAATAGGAAAGAAAAAAAATTGAAATTAAAAGTAACTTTGCAATTTTAAATTAACAAATGTGAAAAATTTAGATCATTTTTCCAGTTTTTACAAACTGGTAATTCGATTCAGTAAGCTAACACATCAAAAAGAGGTGTTAACGTTAATAGTCAAATAGAATTGGTGCGGGATCATACAGGCCAATATATTACATTAGGTGAGGGCATTTTGATAATTTTACAGTTATACACCATCACATGATAACTTAAAAAAATATTATCTAAAAAAGTAAAAAAAAAAACTTTTTACCAACTTCTCAAGTCATTTTATGAAAAAGTCAAAAATTTTGATTAAAAACAAAAAAAATTATTTTTTATCACCTCTCCAAAACAACCCTAACATGCATAGTTATGTATATTATAAACTAAAATAATTAAGAATTTTGTGTTAAGACTTTCAAGCTCAAACGCCTCGGAAGCAGTGGTGGAGCTACCTAAGGCTCAGGGCACGTGTCATATGCAGTTTTGATAATTAGACTAGTATCTATATATATAAGGATTATATATTATTTATTGTTAATAAATTGTAATAATATTCTTTCGCAAATCATGTAAAATTCTTTATATTTTAAATTTTTGAAAAATATTCTATTATATTATTTTATTACTTGTTATAGGGAGAAAAAAAAAATTAATATTGTGATCAATGTGTGCCCTTTCTACTTTAAATTTCTGACTCCACCACTACTCAGAAGGATTCTTTTATGTATGTAAATGGATTTTATAATATTATCTATCTAATAAAGTAGGACAATTTTTTAATCTTCAACATATTATTGTCTTACTAGGACATTTGGATGGCTTAGATCAGTTCAAATTATAAAAATTGTAATAATATTCTTTCGCAAATCATGTAAAATTCTTTATATTTTAAATTTTTAAAAAATATTCTATTATATTATTTTATTACTTGTTATAGGGGAAAAAAAATTAATATTGTGATCAATGTGTGCCCTTTCTACTTTAAATTTCTGACTCCACCACTACTCAGAAGGATTCTTTTATGTATGTAAATGGATTTTATAATATTATCTATCTAATAAAGTAGGACAATTTTTTAATCTTCAACATATTATTGTCTTACTAGGACATTTGGATGGCTTAGATCAGTTCAAATTATAAAACAATGTCTAGGATATATTTTTTTCAAAAATATCCTACATGTATATTTTCTAATTTCCTGCTTCTCTCTCTTACTTTTTCCTTTTCTCACTCATCCTTCCATGATCCCATGATTCTACCTTTCTCCCTCTTCATACATAAAATTTCTATATAATTATATAAGCAAAAGTAATATTGTATGTATGCCCATAGAAATTGTATGTATGCTAGGCACATCTATCTATCTAATTATATATTATATAAACAAAAGCCAGTTTTCGTGAGGAGTTTTGTTAGAACTCCAAAATTTTATAATAAATTTGTGATTTTATCAAATTAAAAAATAAATTTAAATAGTGTTGAGATTAATATTATATTCTAATTCTAACATTATTTACACCGTGCCTTTAGACACGGCCATACGCTAGTATATATATATATATATATTTCAAAACACCACTCTATTTGGTTTAACAGTTTTTAAAAATAGTTTTCGAGTTATCAATTTGTATTTTTTTTTTATTTTTAGTGACTTTTTTTTTATATTTTATTTTATTTTATTTTTTACTTTTTAGATTCTCTTAATCTATATACACTTAAAAAGTATAAAATTTATCAAAAAATATTTTAAAAGAAAAATGATTCGTAGCTCGAAAATCTTTCGGTTCGAATGGCCCGACGTTTTGGGCAGTATTTCCCCTCTATTAGATCTCTAAAGGACAGAGGGATGAAGAGAGAGAAAAAGAAACAGAGAGAAAAAGAAATAAAGAGGAAGAAAAAAAGAAAGAGAGAGACGAGAGAGAGTTCCACTAGAGATTCCACTGAGTTTTTTCTTCTTTTTCTTCTTCTTCTTTTTCCTTTTTCAGGGTTTGAATTCAATCGATTTCATCGAAATTGATGGATATGGATTTCACAAAATTGATGGATGTTAATGATGATGATGTTGTTGATGAAGATGTTGTTCTCGACGATGATGATGTGTTTAATGATGATGATGATGATGATGTTGATGAAGATGTGGTTGTTGATAATGATGATGTGTTGATGATGATGATGTTGATGAAGATGTTGTTGATAATGATGATGTGTTGATGAAGATGATGTGTTTCCCAACTTCCTCTTCTCTCTCTGTATTCTTCATCTTCAAAGAGAAAAGAGAAAAAAAAAAATAAATAAATAATTCCAAAATGATGTCGTTTTGGACTCGAGCTATTCGAGCCGTCTTGTTTTCGAGTTACCAATCGGAATTGATTTTAAAAATTCACTAAATATAAAAAAAAATATCAAAATTCAATACATTTACATAATGAATTTTTTAAGATTTCTCTACAAATATTTTCTTCTGTAGGGTGAAGTACCAATATATCCCAAAATGTGATCTTATGAACTATTTTGTCTTCAATTTTTTCTTATGAACTCAAAGGTCTCATTAAAGTGAAAATTACACAAAAGGGTAGTAATTTACATGTTTGGGTTTAATTTTCTAAGGATAAAAGTGGGTTTCTCTAAATGTAAAATTACACATTTAGGCAATTCACATTATAGATGTTTTGGATTTTCCTTCCTAGAACAAATCTCATGTTGCGAAAAAAATATAACACTCTAATAATGTAACACTAACGTAACATCCAATGTAAAACACTAAAAAACTTTTTGGTACACTTTTTCCAAACGTTACAACGTAACACTCCAAAAAAACTCATTAGTGTACTTTTCCAAACATAACACTCTAATGTAACACAAAAAAAAAACTCCTTAGTGCATTTTTTCGAAACGTAACACTCCAATCAATGTAATCCCAAACGTAACACTTCAATGTAAAACTTAATGTAATTTTTCTAAACGTAACCCTCATAATTTGAAATTATATATTTGCTCAAAACTTACTAAAGAATTTTTATACTCCTTTTGAAATAGTTTGGAGAATCCCACATCTTTTTGGAATGGTTTAAAGAATCTTATATCCTTTTTTTAGAGTATTACATTAGAGTGTTATATTTGGAAAAAGTATACCAAGAAGTTTTTTTGTATGTTACATTGGAATGTTACACTACGAATATTTTTTGTAAGTGTTACATTAGAGACGTTTGAGTGTTATATGAGAGTGTTACAATTTGAAATTATACATTTGCCCAAAGTTTACTAAGGAATTTTTGTACTCCTTTTGAAATATTTTTTGTACTCTTTTTGAAATGTTTGAAGAATTTCAAATCATTTTGAAATGTTTGAATGATCTCATATTTCAAGTCATTTTTGTACTCATTTTGAAATGTTTTCCAAATAAAAAAGATTTCCATATAAGAATTCATCCCAAATTTGATTCTCATAGATTGTGTATATTAATTTTTTAGCACAAAAGAAAAAAACAGAGAAGGAAACATAATAAGGGTATAACTGCAAATTTAATTGCTAAATAATATACTAAATCTTTCCTACCAAAATCAATGAGACTAAAAGGTCTATAAAAAAATTCTTAGGACTAAATGAATTATCATACCTCAAAATGAGATTTATAGGTAAATTTTCCTATTTTGTAAGTATATTTAAATTAAGTGTATCTGAAAAATATTGATTAAAATATGAAAAAAATTCACGAATGATTGGTCTGGGAATTAACTATTTTAATTGTGTTTGACTTTTTATGAAAAATATATTAAAAAAATAGAGAAAATGATATAATAACTTTACGTTAATTTTTTTGATATTTTTAGTCATTTCCCAAATAAGGCCTACATAGGACAAAATACCAAAAATAAAAAATTCAAAAAATATTTTTGAAGACTCAAACCATTTTTTTTTTATTTAAGAAATATTTTATTCCAATTTTCAAATTCAATTTTTTTGAAAATTGATTTTTTTTTATTTTTTCATATTTATTTTTGTTTTATTAAATTCTTTTAATATTTTAAGCATTTTTTTTTTACTTTTTAGATGTATCTTACCTAGATATATTTAAAAAATATATATTTGTAAAAAATATTAAAAAATCAATAAATATACAAAAATATATTGGATTTTTGTTTTTGTTTTTGTATTTTTAATATTTAGTGAATTTTAATTTTTTTTACAAATATTATATTTTTTAAATATATTTATATTAAGTATATTTAAAAATTTAGAAATTTATTTAAAATATTAAAAAAAATCCTTGCATCATACAAAAATTCCTTGCAAATAAAAAAACATAACAAATAAAATACTCAATGAAAAAAAAACCAAAAGGGGGGGTGGTCCTTTAAACAATTACACTTACACTCATTTCAAACATCATTGATTCACTTTTCACTCATCAACCCTGTCGTCTCAATGCTTTTGAGCCTCCGGCGAGCCAACGCACTGCGTGTTAGGGTTCCGATTCTCTCTCCTCTCCAACTCTACACACACTCAGCATCCCCCATCGAATCCCTTACCAAACCCCAGCTCAAAACCCTAGTCCTCTCCCAATACCGCCATGGCAAGTTTTTCAACCTCCTCCAAAACGTCGTCGCTTCGCCCTCCCTCCTCCTCTCCGCTTGCCACAATCTCACTCCCCGTCCTTCCCACAACAATGCCACCGAACCCAGTTCCTCCGAGCCTCTCAATCTCAACTGGGTCTCCGATAATTTCTTCTCTGTCGATGAAATTGCGACCCAGCTCGCTCAGAATCGCTTCGACATCGAGTCGTGTTGCGTGGCGGTGCACTCGTCGAGGAATCGAGGTGAGTCTCTTGTTCTTCCCAATTTGAAGCTCAAAGTTGTCATTGAAGCTATTAGGATGGTTTTAGAAGTTGTTTATGATGATCGTTTCGCTACATTTTCTTATGGCGGGCGTGTCGGTTTGGGACGGCATACTGCGGTTCGGTACCTTAAGAACACAGTAGAAAACCCTAGTTGGTGGTTTAGTGTGTCTTTTGATGGCCACAATAGGTTTGATGTTAATCATGTTGAGAAATTATGTTTGATTATTGAAGAGAAAATTGGAGATAAGACATTGCTTGATATGATAAAGAGGTTGTTGGAATGCAAAGTGGTGAGAATTGAATTGGGTGAATGTTATTTAGGGAGAGGATTTCCTCAAGAAAGTGGATTGAGTTCGATTTTAATTAATATTTACTTTAATGGGTTTGATAAAGAAATTCAAGAGTTACGGCTTCAAACGAACAGGGAAAATCCCAATTTTGAGTTGAATGAGCTTGTTTCAAAGTCTAGTAATATTTTCTATAAGCCCTTAAAGATTTATGTGGTTAGGTACTTGGATGAGATACTAGTGATCACGTCTGGGACAAAGTTGTTGACAATGGATTTGAAGAATAGGGTTGTAAAATATTTGGAAAATAATTTGGAATTGAGGGTAGATAGAGTGAAAACAGCTATTCATAGCGCAGTTTCTGAGAAAATTGATTTTTTGGGCATGGAACTTCAGGCTGTTTTGCCCTCAGTTTTGCATCCGCCAATGTCTGAAAAAGCAATTAGGGCAAGGAAGAAATACCTCAGACAAAAGGAAGTTAGAGCTTTGGAGTTGAGAAATGCTAGAGAGAGTAATAGGAAGAAACTTGGGTTGAAAATTATGGGGAATATCTTTAAGAAATTGAAACGGAGTAATGGATTTAAATTAGACTTTCACATTGAGAATGAAGTTAGACAAATATTTAGAACATGGGGCGATGAAGTAGTGCAAGACTTTTTTGGGTCTTTGGGGGAACGGTGGAAGTGGCACCGGATGCTTTCTTCTGGTGACTTCCTCTCTTTGAGAAAGATTAGAGATCAATTGCCCCAAGAGCTTGTGGAATCATATGACAACTTTCAAGAGCAAGTTGACAAGTATTTGAAGCCTGTGAAACTTAGGAAGGAATTAGAGGAAGAAGAGAGGAGGATAGAAGAGGAAGAGGAACGGAAATATGCTGAAAGAACAGTTGATGATTTGACAAAGCTGTGTGTTAAAGTTGATGCTCCCATAGAACTTGTAAGGAAGGCAGTTAAAATCGCTGGATTTACAAATCATATGGGTCGGCCTAGGCCAATCAGCTTACTCATGGCTCTTGAAGATACTGATATCGTCAAGTGGTATGCAGGTGTAGGGAGAAGATGGCTTGATTTCTTCTGCTGCTGCCACAACTTCAAAATGGTGAAAACTGTTGTAACTTATCACCTAAGGTTCTCCTGTATCTTGACATTAGCAGAAAAGCATGAAGCCACCAAGCGTGAGGCCATCCGACATTATACTAAAGATTTGAAAGTTTCTGATGTGAATGGAACCGAAGAAGTGCACTTTCCTTCAGAAAGTGAGATTAAAATGATGGGAGATAATAATCTTTCAGATCCAAAACCTGTGGATGGGGCTTTAACAATGGCTTTGATCAGATTGGCTTCTGACGAGCCTTCATACCACTGTGTAGCTCATTTTTGTGACAGAACAGATACTATTGTGTACCGAATTCGGTTACTGCAAAATGATCTGAATTTGAACCCATTAGATGAAAAGAAATGGGTTTCGGGGATGGGCACAATTCATGAATGTTTGAACCGGAAGTGTCTCCATCTATGTTATGATCATATAAGTGCATTGTACATGGGGAAACTTACTCTTCAAGACATAGACTGTACTTCATTTGTGGATGTGGACTGAATGGTTTTTGTTTTCCCCTCCTCCATAATACTATTATGGATTATGATTGGTTCTAAAGGCTGTTCCTAACATGAAGCTGATCTGGATAAATTGTTGTAATTTTTTTACTCCACTGAAGATGGATTATTCATTTATACAATTCTTTTCATTCAAAGTTACATAGTAATTTGGCATGTTTGTGATACTAGAGGAATGCTTCACAAATGCTAGTCTAAGTTATTGAAGTTGATGAATCCTCATAGTAAGTTCTAGTAACTGACGATATAGAGATGCTGATCAGAATGTTGATCAACCTTATTTCCATAACCTAAAGTTGTTCTTTGGGCTTTAGGTGGATGTAAGCATTACTATAAAACTATTTTCTGGTTCATTGAGCTCATACGATTGACTTGTTGCAAATTGTGGCTATGTTATGTTAGTTGTCATGTTTTCCGTTGTGTTTTTCTTTAATATTTGAGTTATAATATTCTGCTGATGTAGCCTTTCCATATGGTGAAGGTCTCTATTTAGGATTCATTACTGAAGCATCATTGTAGGGCCATGATCGTTACCAGATCAGCTTGATTGATTGATACATAGATGAATTGAACTATTGGAAGGAAGTTGACATACAGAGATCTAAAGCTCTTCTTGTTAACTGGTAGGCTACGTTTGGATCAATGATTTGAGGAAGGGAGAACTGAAAAAATATTTAGCCTTTATTTCATTTACTTTTATGTTCTTTTTTCCTTTCCTTCCACACACCCCTCCTCAAATCTTAAATCCAAACATGGTTTTAAAGTTTTTTCTTGCCAGGGCATTTGTTATACAGCTTGTGTAGTAGAATATGGCTGCAAGTTTTGTTGTTTTCTTTTCAGCTTGTAGTTGAAACTTGGTTGATATATTATTATCGTGTGGATGCAAATAGTTTACTTGTGAGGTTATCGTCATGGTGATGTACAAAGTGAAATACTTTGAACTGCAAGGTGCCGAGCCCTGTGCCTGTGTTTGAATCCTGTTCAATGGTGTGTTGTCCACAACGAGCTCATATATGAGATCTTAATGTGCTGCCAGTTGTTGGGTTCAAGGATTGCAGTTAGGATCTTGGTTGGATTATGGTTAAATAATATTTTTGGGAATATTAGATGGTTATGTAGCTCTTTTGGTTACATTACTATTAATAAAAAAGTTGATCGGATTGTAGTAGATAATGGTTCCGTTTGGTGTAGCTGTTAAAACAGCTTATAGATTATAGCTTAACAGATTATAGATTATGATTTTAATCAGAAGTTGTTAATCTATTTGGTGTAACTGTTGGATTATAAATTTAAGTTGCTGAGTAGTGTTTGTTAAATAAACTGTGAAATAGTTTTTTCAATTAAATTTTATTTTTTGTTATTTACTACTTGTCTACATTTCTCATAAAAAATAATAATAATAATTTATAGTCCATTTGGGCCTTTTTCTATTTTTTAAAAAATAAAAAATAAAAAAATCTAAGAGTATAACCATATATTAACACGCCCACAGCAGAAACTGATAATCAGAAGCAAGTGGTGAGTAACTTTTCAGAATCAGTTTTTTTGAGTTAAAATAAGCTGTTAGAATCAGAAGCTGTTTGAAATAAATTTAACCAAATAGTTTAAAATAATTTTTTCAAAATTAAAAGTTATAAGATAATTTTAAAAAACTGAAACAAACACTCCCAATGCCCTCTTTTAAGCTAGTGACTTGGGTTCTTGAGAATGTGGCGTTGGGACTGATGTGTAAATAATTGTTGTTGATAAGTCCTGCACACTGTGTGAGGTCTGTCAATTTCCATCATGAGTCGGGAGGCCATAAGAGGGATCAAGTGCAATATTCTGCTCAAGTCTTAGGTTTTTTTTTTTTTTATATATATATTTGGTAGGGAATGTATTAAACGGAATATATATAGGTTTTCTGCTTTTTACCGGATGGGGCACTTTACCCATTTCGAATCAAAGTTAAGTTGGGATTTTTTTAAATTTGGAGTGGCTGCTGTGTAATTGTTGCACAGCTTATTCGGTTCATTTTGGGATTAATTTGATAATATAAACTATTTACTCTTTGGAGTATATCGACTTGAAATTCTACAAAAAAAAATTAAGTTGATCAAACATCGGTAGATTTTTTATCAAATCATATTTATATTTAAAAAAATGAATGACAAGTGTAATAGTATAAAACTAAATATAAATGTAATTTGATGAAAGGCATATTAATATTTGATTAATTTAATATTTTTACAGATATATTTTTCTCTATGTACTTAAAAAGTAAAAGAGGCTCTGGAATGAGCCCAATAGGCGATGCAACAATCCTCCAAACCCAATTTTGTAACTATTTTCATTCTAAAGGAAACGAAGAATCAATATTTAGTCAATAGGAGACCTACGTCCCTCTCTTTGGAACCTCATCACTTCAATTTAAGCATAACTTCATTTATGAGGAGCCGGTCAAAGCACACCTTTGATATTTTAGTAAGGTGAGTTGTTTTAAAACCTTCGTTTATATTACTTCAATCTAAGAAATAGCTGGAAATTCTAGAGGATTGCCTTTGGAAATAGTTTTAAAACTTTCTTTTCTTTTGATTGAATTCAATTTATAAACCCGCAAATCACTGCCACCCACATAACTCAACTACCCACCTCTGCCAATCAAGGTCAAGTTTCCATTTCATATGAAAGCTAAAATAATAATAATAATTAGGGGGACATTTTGCATGTTATTTATAGTGGTGATGATTAGTTTGATCTTTTTACACTATATTTGGATTATGAATTTTGTAGAGAAAAATAAAACGAAATGTGAAAAAGAGAAGAAAAATAAGTGAACAAAAATTAAATTTACTTCTTTCATTTTATTTTCAATTGTAAATTTTGTTAATAAGGGTCCTAAATATATTTGTTAACAAATTTAAAAATGATTGTGCATTTTTATAAAAATACGTACCATAAAAAATATATATTATATTAAATTTTGTTAATAAATACCCCTTTTCCACATAGCATTAATGGTCAACACCCAAGAGTTAATTGTTGAATTTGTAATATGAAAGTGCACACAGCAAAAACTATAATGAGCCCATAAACTTCTAATCAGACTTTCATCCTCTTCATTTCATGTATGTTATAGAAGAGTTTCATTACATATCTAACGACTATAAAATAAAGATGTAAATTTATAATTATTTTTAATTAAAAAAATTATTAATTGAATGATGTAATGAAACCTTTCTATTATAAATATGCAACGGAGAAGATCACAATCCTTTTTAATCAACAACCTAATAGAATATATTGGTCTATACAGTAAATAATTAGATAGTTCGGTAAAGTCATTTTGTTGGGTATTCTTGGAGTACGGTCACGTGATACTCCATGATATTATGATTGGTGAAAAATGTAAGATCTAATGATTTTTGTTAGGTTTTATTTTTGGCAATCCTGTTTGACAAAACTCCTTTCAGTTGTATTTATTTTCGCACTTTTATTTCAATGAGGCTATGAGTATTTAGATGCGAATCCAACTTGAATTGTGCATTTCAGAGAAGTTTGTGATGCTAATGCTTTCAAGATTGCCACTTCGCTGATTATGACGGGGATCGAGCTGCCCGGTCAGCTCGCGGGGGTCTAGGGGACAGCACCCCTTGGCGGGTCCGGGGCAGCGCCCCAGAAGCAAAATGCAAAAATGCATTCAAAATTACATGTCTGCTCGAGCGGACATACCCGCGCTCGAGCGGAGAATCCCTGGTTCCAGTAGTTTTGGTCGCCTGCAAAAGTACTGAGATGTGTGATTTCACGCTCGAGCGGGTTCTATAGCGCTCGAGTGGACCTCTGTTATATCACACGTATATTTTGCTGAAGCCGCTCGAGCGGGCTGTTGGCCGCTCGAGCGGAGATCGCGGGACAGATTCTATAAATTCGCATGTTGGGTCAGATTTTAGGATTATTACTCCAGATATTCTTTTTGGGTTCTAGGGTTTATATCTGGAGATACTTTATGAGTTTTCTTTGATGTTTTAATTGAGTATTCAACTCATGTTCTAAAGAGTATACATCAAAGGTTTTGTTTGTTTTACAAGTTCTACAAAAGAGAGAGTTGTTCTTCGGTGGATTCTGAAGAATTCGAGCCTGAAGCTTCGGTGGATTCCGGGGTGGCTCATCGTAAAGACAATTCCGAGGTAAAGACGGGTTGGAAGAGGCACATAGAGGTTGGTTCAATTAGGCGTGGATTCGCTAGGTAATTGAGAATATACCTGTGTAATTCCTTTAAATCTTCTTAGTAGATTGTTTTGTGGTTGTTGTCCGTGGTTTTTTTTTATCACAGTTGGAGGTGTCCAATTGTGGTTTTTTCCACATAAAATCGTTGTGTCTCTTTGTCTTGATTGTTTGATTGTGATTGTTATATTCTGCTTAAAATTGATACATAATCACAAATCAACATCTAGGGGATTTCTAGATTTTTCAATTTTGTATTGGCTGATTGAGGAGCATGAGAGGATACGATGCATGGTGATTGGTGAAAAAGTATGGACACGTGGTACTTCAAGAGTACCTAATAATTTTTCCATTTTGTTTGGTGTTTTCTACAAATTGTCAAGGTGGCTCACTAGGTGTTTTTATTTTCACGTACCAATTTCTTTAAGATAAATATATTTCACACACTAAATCCCTACAGGATATACACTAACTCAACATTTTCTCAATGTATACATCAAAAACAAAAATATTCTTAGCACACATCTTTTCATTCTAATAATGCCATCATCTATTTTCAAACCCTAATTTATTTTTCATTTACCCACTCTTCCTCAATAGGAAAACTTGTAATGTCATCTTTGTCATTGTCATCTGTTGGATATTTTACTATAAATGGAAATTAACTTCATAGAAATTGGAAGGGTGCGACCGTTCTTGGTGTCTATCTGGATAGAAAGGTTTAACTCTTCATAGAAGTGTCATAACCTTTCAAAATAGTTACCAACAATGTTTTTAAAAAGCTTCAAGCGCATTGAGGTGCTAAGGTCTTCTGGAGTTTAAGCGTGATGCGTAAGGCAAGGCGCACGCCTCACCGAAGCGAGGCGCAAGTTGTTGAAGATAACCAACATATTAATATAGGTGAAGTTTTTAACATAAAACAAACATTCTTAGAATTTCAAAAAATAAAAAATAAATAAATAGAACGACATTCAATATTTCAAAAATCATGAAAAATAACATTCAACGTTTCAAAAATTTCTCAAAAATAACATTCAATCTTACTCTGCCCTATATTATTTATTTTTCTTTATCAATTTATTAACGTGATTCATTTCTTTGTTTAGATAAGGAACTCACACAATATAATACCTTAGTGGTTTTAATTTTAAATCAGGACCAAATTGTCTAATAGCTTCA